TGGTATTTTATTTGCTGTTTGTAAAGAATTGTTTGTATTTTCCATCTTGTGTACAGGAATAAACTTTTAACATATTTGTTGTAATTTTTTGTTTACTAACATTGCTAAAATGAGAATGAATTTATGGTACGTGTATTTATTTTGGTGTTTAAGAATATATTATATTATGCTAATGTGCCATTTTTTTGTTACTTTTGAAGTTTTTGTATTAAAATTTGTTTACTAACAAATAATTTTTGTCTGAAATAGAATGTATAAAGTATGTACTTCAGTCTAATTACTATGTACTTCCCCCTTTGTTATCATACTTATTTCTGGTAGTTTTATAATTGATAGTATTGTTAATTAATTGTATAATGGTTATGTAATAGTTAAAAGTTAAGGTAGCTGGGGTGTCTAAATGTTCAATGATAAATTTTTCTTAAACTTCTGTAAAAGACTTCTGGGTCATTATTCTTTCAAATTTCAATATAAAAATGGGGGATTAAGGACCTTGGTTTTTAGTTAAAATACATTGAGATTAACGAAATCAGGGTTATTTTATATTGGTTATACAGGGGAAACTTAATTTTTCCTTATTGAGGAAACATTAAACATTAGAATTGGCTAAACTTTAATAAGAGAATTTCTTTGATACTTCTGAAATATCAAATAAAAATAAGGGTCATGGGCCTTATTTTCTTGAAAAACCAAAAGAGCACAAATTGTCCTATCAAATTCAGTATAATTATCTGCCCATGATTTTAAAAGGATTTTTTTCTGAAAATTTTTGAATACACCTTACAACTTTTATTTTTTTGATAGTTTAATCTTTAAATTTCAAGTTATTTTTATTGTATATTGAATGATACTTGGTAAAATATTTTTAAAACAAAAAAGTATTTTTGCAACATGCCCAGAAGGGATGCTCAGAAAAAAACACCCGATCTACCTTAAAGAGTTAGTTTTTTTGTGGTTTGCTTGTAGATTTTAGAAACATTACTGTTCTGAACTAGTATACTGATTTACCTTTGTCCGTCATGTGTACATTATTACGCTGTCTCTAATATTTTCTGTAACATTTTTTTTAATTTTAAAGAAAAACAGATTAATATTTGGTACTAAGCATAGTAAAAGTTAGCAAATTTTGAATCTGTTTCACATATAAAATTTTGAAACATTGTCTTTTTACTTAACTGCAACCTTATGTCAGATTATTTTGATTTCCAATGTTTAAGGTAATCCTGGTTATAGCAGTCTGATGACTCTTAATACTGTGGATTCATTATTATTCATTGGATACCAATTTTCGTGGGTTTCGTGGGTACAGGTGAACCACGAATTCAAATGTTCAACGAATTACAAATTTTCTATTGGCTTTGTATGCAGAAATTGGTAAAACCACGAAATCAAATATCCACGAAAATGCAAGTTTTCCTCAATCCACGAAAATTGATACCCACGAAAATAAATGAATCCACAGTAGCTAAACATAAATTTGTTAGTTTTTGGTTATCATATAACTAAATGTAAGAAATTATATATTCGACAATTTATGACATATTTAGACTGACTGGATTTGATCCAAAGCTGTACACAAGTTTTTCTTGAAAAATCAAGGCCTAATTTATTACCTTAATATTAATTGTAGAATAAAGATTTGATATTTGTTCACATTTTGTGTAAGTTTTTGTTTGTCTTTATAAATGCAGAATTTTTATTCAATATTATTTTTAAGTTTTACAGTTAAGGGATAACAGAATTTGTATTTGAGTCTTCAGATTTTATCTTGTCATTTCAAAATAATGTTATATCCTAACAGTTTGTATTTTAGTTTGTATGTGGATCAACACAGCTGTTCAAATTTTCTATAAGAATCTCAATATTTTATGTCAAGATTAATTATTTTTATCTTTTGAGGTTGTACAGTAAAAGTATATTTTAGAGGGAAATTTTTTAAAAAACTGATATTTTTTCATGATACATCAATATATTATACAAGTTATAGGTGCAAGGGAGGTAACTCTGCTTAGTTTTAATGATTCTACTTTTTCTTGTTTTAATTTTATTTTTTTTAGATATATTTTGGTTCTTATAGAACTGATTTTGAATTTGAACGTTGCAACGTTTGATAAATTCAACCAGTTGTGATAAGGTTACCTTAAAATTTTGCTGAAAATGGCTATTTTTCTGTGATACTTGGAAAAAGCAGCATCTATTTGCCTAGTCGAGGTCATTTTATTAATATTAATTTTAATATTGATCTATAAATCATATACGCAGATATATATGTATAAAAATATATATAATTAGTTATACTTTATTTTTCTTGCGACTTAAAGCATTTTTTTACTTATATATATTGTATCATACTTTAATTTGTTTTAGTATTGTTAGTTGTAAAGTGTACAATTTAAATTATTCATCATCAGAAATTGTAAAGGCATTTTTTATATTCAAACTAAACCTTGAAATCATCAAGTTTTATGTTAAGTTTAAAGGTTGAGTTGATTAGAATTTGACTAAATTATTTTGGTAGATTTTCAAATTTTTTACTTCTAAACCAACAATTTATTTTTCTGGTTACAAAGATCCAGTTGCCATCACCCAACACGTAATGCAATGCAATTATGTATATGTTGTACAAATAGGGCAAAATGAAATTAACTTACAATTTGGTATAATTTGAGTTATGTAAGACAAGCTCTTTTTTTACAGTTTTTTTGGAGCATACAATTGCAAGGATGCCATCTCTATCACTTAATGATATTCTTAATTCAATGGATTCAGTCATTCTGTATTTCTTTGAACTGTACAACTAGTTTAAACCAGATATGTGAATAAGGTTTCTTGTAAATTAATGACTCTGTTCTTTTACAGACTGGTTGACATTGACCCTTGAGTAAACATTTAGAAAATACTTCATTGGAAATTTTGAGTCAAATTCTAAGAAAAATAATTGACATGTGTTAATTCTTTGTTAAGCAAAAGCCAACCAATATTGCACATAGAGATAGACCTATAGTGGACAACCTACTTAAAATCTTAAAAACAGTTAAATTTCAATAATTCATCCACTGTGTGACTGTTTTTTTAATCAATTTTCATTTCATTTCTGCTTGTAATCTGTGTAACAATTTCTTTTGGTGTGTGTGTCAAGGTATCTAGACCATGAAAAGAATAGGGGTCAAATAGTTTTATATTTTGCTAAAAAAAAACAAATCAATCCATAATTTTATAACTTTATTTTGAACATATCAAAAAGCCTGGTAAACCAGTTTCTCAATTAGAAACAAAAGTTGTTTTTGAAATTTTCAATGCTTGCTGAAGTCGTGACATTTGCTCTGCATAAAACAGTTCTTGTAAATTATGGTCTAGATGCCTTAAGTAAGAGAATGGTATATTATAGGGTTTGCTTTTACTTTTAGACGTGACTTTCTAGTTTGTAACAACAATTTTACATTATCGGTATTTACTATTTTCATATCAAATAAAATATATTTTACATTCAAAAAATTTGTATTTTATTATCATTCAGATAAATGATAGTAGAAAGATAGTTCCATCCTTCAGATAGTAATCTTGCAATGGAGATGACTTAATGATAAATTATCCTTTAGTTATCTTTCATCTGTATATTACTGGAAAACAAAAAAGAGAGTAGTAAGATACCAAAGGGACATTCAAACTCATAAGTCTAAAACAAACTCATAAGTCTAAAACAAACTCATAAGTCTAAAACGAACTCATAAGTCTAAAATGAACTCATAAGTCTAAAACAAACTCATAAGTCTAAAACAAACTAACAACACCATGGCAAAAAACGAAAAAAAACAACTAAAAAGACAAACAACAGTATTCAAAACAAAACATAGAAAACTGAAGACTGAGAAACATGAACCCCATCAAAAGCCAGGGGTGTTCAGATAGATGTTAAAATATACATATACATCTTTGTATCAATCTGATGAGTTAAGCCCTTTTTATACGACCGCAAAAAATTTTTGTGGGCGTATATTGGTATGACGTTGGCGTCGTCGTCGTCGGTGGCGTCATCGTTGTCCAGCGTCGTCGTCCGAAGACACATTGGTTTTTCGCACTCTAACTTTAGTTTAAGTGAATGGATCGCTTTGAAATTTTACGATAATATGGTTCAATACCACAAAAGGAAGGTGGGGATTGATTTTGGGGGTTATGGTACCAACAGTTAAGGAATTAGGGGCCAAAAAGGGGCCAAAAATAAGCATTTTCTAGTTTCCAGACAATAACTGTGGAACGGTGTATGGATCTCTCTGAAATTATACTACAAGTTTCCATACCACAAAGGGATGGTTAGGATTTGCTTTGGGGGGTTATGGTTCAAACCGTTTAGGAATTAGGGGCAAAAAAGGGGGAAAAACAAGGTTGTCCTGGTTAATGGACAAATACTTTAGTACAAAACATATATAAAGCAGTGTAAGGGAGATAAATCAAATACATCATTGAAATTATCTCCCTTACACTGCTTTTAAATTATGTATAAAGTAATGGTTAATGAACAATTAAGATAATTTAAAACAGTGTAAGGGAGGTAATCCAAATACAACGTTTTGGTTACTTCCCTTACACTGCTTTTAAATTATGTTTAAAGAAATGCATATTTATAAAGAAAACCAGTAAAAATATCTGCAAATGTTGCATCTTTTTTTTTTACAAAAAAATCCATATGAAAGATTTGACACTATATTTTAAATTCTATTATAAAATAGATTAAGTTAACACTATGGTAAATTTAAATGGGTAATTATGGTTGCAAACTCCATTGGAAATTTGATTGAGATTATGACCATATCTTGAGAGAAAGAATTTTTTTTGGGGAAAAAAGGGGGGGGGGTAAAAAGAAATTGTGGGGGTCAATTTTTTCTCATTTCAGATTTCAGAAACTAAAAAGAATTATTCTTCAAATATTATTTTTTTTTCAAATTTCAAATATTGAAAAATTTCAAGAAGTAATCTTTAATTGCACAGTATGGCGCATTAGATTTGTAAAATCTTTGACCACATTTATTTATTTGTTATGCCGAATCTAACTGTGTATTTAGATTTTTAATTTTGGGTCCAGTTTTCAAATTGGTCTACATTAAGGTCCAAAGGGTCCAAAATTAAACTTTGTTTGATTTTAACAAAAATTGAATATATGGGGTTCTTTGATATGCTGAATCTAAACATGTATTTAGATTTTTGATTTTTGGCCCAGTTTTCAAGTTGGTCCAAATTGGGGTCCAAAATTAAACTTTGTTTGATTTCAACAAAAATTGAATATATGGGGTTCTTTGATATGCTGAATCTAACCTTGTATTTAGATTTTTTATTTTTGGACCCCACTATCAAGTTGGTTCATATTGAGGTTAAAAGGGTCCAAAATTAAACTCAGTTTGATTTCATCAAAAATTGAGTTATTGGGGTTCTTTGATATGCCAAATCTAACTGTGTATTTAGATTTTTAATTTTGGGTCCTGTTTTTTCAATTTGTCTACATTAAGGTCCAAAGGGTCCAAAATTAAACTAAGTTTGATTTTAACAAAAATTGAATTCTTGGGGTTCTTTGATATGCTGAATCTAAACATGTGTTTAGATTTTTGATTATGGGCCCAGTTTTCAAGTTGGTCCAAGTTGGGGTCCAAAATTAAACTTTGTTTGATTTCAACAAAAATTGAATATATGGGGTTCTTTGATATGCTGAATCTAAACATGTATTTAGATTTTAGATTTTTGGCCCAGTTTTCAAGTTGGTCCAAATTGGGGTCCAAATTAAACTTTGTTTGATTTCAACAAAAATTGAATATATGGGGTTCTTTGATATGCTGAATCTAACCATGTATTTAGATTTTTTATTTGTGGGCCCGCTATCAAATTGGTTCATATTGAGGTCAAAAGGGTCCAAAATTAAACTTTGTTTGATTTCATCAAAAATTGAATTATTGGGGTTCTTTGATATGCCAAATCTAACCGTGTATTTAGATTTTTTAAATTTTGGGTCCCGTTTTTTCAATTGGTCTACATTAAGGTCCAAAGGGTCCAAAATTAAACTTAGTTTGATTTTAACAAAAATTGAATTCTTGGGGTTCTTTGATATGCTGAATCTAAACATGTGTTTAGATTTTTGATTATGGGCTCAGTTTTCAAGTTGGTCCAAGTTGGGGTCCAAAATAAAACTTTTTTTGATTTCAACGAAAATTGAATATATGGGGTTCTTTGATATGCTGAATCTAACCATGTATTTAGATTTTTTATTTGTGGGCCCTGCTATCAAATTGGTTCATATTGAGGTCAAAAGGGTCCAAAATTAAACTTTTTTTGATTTCATCAAAAATTGAATTATTAGGGTTTCTTTGATATTCCAAATCTAACCGTGTATTTAGATTTTTAATTTTGGGTCCCGTTTTTTAAATTGGTCTACATTAAGGTCCAAAGGGTCCAAAATTAAACTTAGTTTGATTTTAACAAAAATTGAATTCTTGGGGTTCTTTGATATGCTGAATCTAAACATGTGTTTAGATTTTTGATTATGGGCCCAGTTTTTAAGTTTGTCCAAGTTGAGGTCCAAAATTAAACTTTGTTTGATTTCAACAAAAATTGAATATATGGGGTTCTTTGATATGCTGAATCTAAATATGTATTTTGATTTTGGACATTGGACCATAATAGGTAAATTAAGAAAATTCAAGTTCTTAGACCACATTCTTTCTGTGTCAGAAACCTATGCTGTGTCAAATTTTTAATCACAATCCAAATTCAGAGCTGTATCAAGCTTGAATGTTGTGTCCATACTTGCCCCAACTGTTCAGGGTTCGACCTCTGCGGTCGTATCAAGCTGCGCCCAGCGAAGCATTTTATTAAATAGATTTTATAATGTGTTCTTTTGTTGTGTTATTATACCACTGTTCCAGGTTAGGGAAACATTTTTAACCCCCCCCTCCCCCCCCCCCAAAAAAAAAATATTCTGTATGTGCCTGTCCCCAAGTCAGGAGCCTGTAATTGAGTGGTTGTTGTTTGTTGCTGTATATCATATTTGTTTTTAATTTATTATGTACATAAATCAGTCCGTTAGTTTTCTCATTTCAATTATTTTACATTTGTCATAATGGGGCCTTTTATTGCTTTTATCAAGAATGGGTTTTGCTCATTGTTGTAGGACGTACAGTGACCTATAGTTGCTAACTTCTATGTTATTTGTTCTCTGATGGAGAGTTATCTCATCGGCAATCATACCATGTGCCTGTCCCCAAGTCAGGAGCCTGTAATTGAGTGGTTGTTGTTTGTTGCTGTATATCATATTTGTTTTTAATTTATTATGTACATAAATCAGGCCGTTAGTTTTCTCATTTCAATTATTTTACATTTGTCATAATGGGGCTTTTTATTGCTTTTATCAAGTATGGGTTTTGCTCATTGTTGTAGGACGTACAGTGACCTATAGTTGCTAACTTCTATGTTATTTGTTCTCTGATGGAGAGTTGTCTCATCGGCAATCATACCTGGCACATCTTATTTTTATTTATACAAGTATTTTTTTTTCTATCATAGATGACAGGATGTTAAAGTTTTAGATATTTTTTTTCAACTATAAATGACTTGTGAAGTTTCAGCCATTGGTGATTGAAAGATAATGTTCAGTTAGTCCGCTTTGAAATATAAATGACTAAATGGTAAATACTTTACATCAACCAAAAATGTTGTATTGATAAATGTCTATATGTTAAATTTTGAGCTAGAGAAGGTTGGATGTTAATAATAAACATTTGAACAAAAGGAGATGTGTTGCATACCTCATTGAGACAGCAACCTCAGACAAAAATAACCAAAAGACACCAAGAAGACAACATACATGCAGTGAACTTTAGACAGAAACCTAAGACAAAAATAATCAAAAGACACTCAGAGGACAACATACATGCGGTGAACTTTAGACAGCAACCTAAGACAAAAATAACCAAAAGACACCCAAAGGACAACATATATGCAGTGAACTTTAGACAGCAACCTAAGACAAGAATAACCAAAAGACACCCAAAGGACAACATACATGCAGTGAACTTTAGACAGAAACCTAAGACAAAAATAACCAAAAGACACCCAAAGGACAACATACATGCAGTGAACTTTAGACAGAAACCTAAGACAAAAATAACCAAAAGACACCCAAAGGACAACATACATGCAGTGAACTTTAGACAGAAACCTAAGACAAAAATAACCAAAAGACACCCAAAGGACAACATACATGCAGTGAACTTTAGACAGAAACCTAAGACAAAAATAACCAAAAGACACCCAAAGGACAACATACATGCAGTGAACTTTAGACAGAAACCTAAGACAAAAATAACCAAAAGACACCCAAAGGACAACATACATGCAGTGAACTTTAGACAGAAACCTAAGACAAAAATAACCAAAAGACACCCAAAGGACAACATACATGCAGTGAACTTTAGACAGAAACCTAAGACAAAAATAACCAAAAGACACCCAAAGGACAACATACATGCAGTGAACTTTAGACAGAAACCTAAGACAAAAATATCCAAAAGACACCCAAAGGACAACATACATGCAGTGAACTTTAGACAGAAACATAAGACACTGACAACATACATGCGGTGAACTTTAGACAGCAACCTAAGACAAAAATATCCAAAAGACACCCAGAGGACAACATTCATGCAGTGAACTTTTAAACATTTTTCTGGTAGAACATACTGATGTAATACTTGTGGATATACACTCAGAATAACTTTATGAACACACTGGAGCTGAAGTATTATTTAAGTAACAAAACCATGAATGAAGACATTTAGATATTTTATTCTGACATTGTGCTGTAATCTATGAATAACAAATCCAATAAGTTTTCCTTCTGATAAATAACTATAACTGTATATTAAGTACTTAGTATACATATATACAGTTTTTTGTATTCAAGATTGATACTCTTTCTGTTTAAATGGTAAGATCATTTTTACTTTTTGAAATGGCTGAGCTTGGGATTTAAGATACAAGAAGTTTATGTCATACCTCAATACATGCTGCATTTTTATTGCATCTTCAAATGTAGCATACATAGCTCAATTGGACTCTAAAGAAAGAAATATTCTTACTTTGACAGTTTTTACTGAAATTTCTAAAATTTAAAAAGAAATGTTATAACTTTGAATTATGTAAACAAATGTAAAAAAAAAATGTATTTTGAACTAGATTCACAGTTGCCATCAAAAAGTAGCTGAGAAATAGTAAAAAATTTATTATGATAGGCAATATATTTCGCCAGTGTGACTCCTTCTCGTTATTTATACTGATATGATATGTGACTGTTATTGACAACATGACAGTAAGAAATTTATATGGGAGCTCGAAGTATATACCTCTTTTGTCTTTTGTTAACCGTGCCATTGTCTTAGTTTTTCAGTTGTCTTCATGCTATATAATCCTGATGTGGTATGATTGGCAATTGGTCATAATTGCACAAGATTTATCAAACCCCAACACAAAAATCTGTTAAATACAAACACTGGACACTTTTAATTTGCAAAACACTCATTTGCAAATCCGCCGCCGCCTCTCCTTACAGCTACAGTGTCGTGTATATAACCAAAATGTGCGGAATTACATGGGATTCAATAATTTCATTGCTTTTCTGCTGTTATTATAATATATATTTTGTAATTTGATTTATAAAAACATGGGATTTTCAATATCCCATGGGATAGGGCAAATCCCATGGGATTGACCATTATCCCATGGGATTTTGGTTAAATCCCATAGGATTTTTTGGGGTCCCATGGGATAATTGTAGTCCCATGGGATATTTGTTGTCCCATGGGACAAAAAAAATCCCATGGGATTATAATTATCCTATGGGATTTTTAATATCCCATGGGATAAAATAAAATCCTATGGGATTCAAATTATAAATATACAGTAATGTGTATGTTACAATGAATTCTGTTTGGTAGTAAAAAGTTTATAATATATACATGAGTGTATTTTGGTTTTTTTTTCATTTTGTCACAAACATGTTTTTAATTTGTTTATATGACAATAAAGATAATTATAATTTTGGAAAGAATAATAATATTTAAGGTCAAAAAAGAAAATCCTTTAACTGAAATAACATACAACCTGAGACTGTGTTATACATGTAGTAGTCTCAGATACAACAGTGTATATGATATGACTTTCTCCATTTCAACCCTCATGGGTTGATGCCGGTATACTCTCTAGTATATATCTATAACATACATTTTCCGGTATACAGCAAAACTTACGTATCCGGCAAACACAGACTTTGAGTACAAATGAAAAGAATACACGTTAATTTGCATTAAAGTTTTCCTATTGAACTTATTTGCAGAATTTTTAATTGGATATGCTCAAAACTGAAGAATGGAAGTCCAAGACCTAAAACAAACGTTGAAGAGTTGTTCAAACCAAAATGGACCACACACGCAAAAAAAAATAACTTATCTAATTTTCATTCAGGTAATAAACAAATCCTTAAATTCACAACATATTCATGATAAACTTCAACATACATATCCATTAAATCATTCACACTTCCAAGTATATAACCGTTTAATAAAATCGAGTCAAATTAAATACACAATTGAACGGAACAAATGTTCATTTGATACCTGATTTATTTTATTAGTTGTTATTGGCTTTGAACTAGCTGTCAGTAACTTCGAGTACTCTCAGATCTGCACTTAGTGTCTTTTTGTTGTGGGGATAACCGACCGTGCAAGACCCTCATGGGTAGTCGAGGTCGTTAAAACCCCGGCCCTCGTCGTTGTGGGGATGTATAAGTACCCGTGCACGTCCACTCTGTTTTTTTTTTTTTTTTTTTGACTTACCGACCGTGCAAGGGCTGTATAGCCAGTCAAGGTCGTTAAAAACTTCCATATATATCTGTTTTTTGTTAGACGTATTTCTATTTGTATCCATCTGATGAGTTAAGCCTTTTCAACTGATTTTTAGCTCACCTGACCCAAAGGGCCAAGTGAGCTTTTCTCATCACTTGGCGTCCGTCGTCGTTAACTTTTACAAAAATCTTCTCCTCTGAAACTGCTTGGCCAAAGTTAACCAAACTTAGCCACAATCATCATTAGGGTATCTAGTTTTAAAAATAAGTCTGATGACCCCGTCTACCAACCAACATGACCGACATGGCTAAAAATAGAACATAGAGGTAAAATGCAGTTTTTGGCTTATATCTCTGAAACTAAAGCATTTAGAGCAATCTGACAAGGGTAAAAATGTTTATCAAGTTTAGATCCATTTGCACTGAATTTTTCAGACGAATCAGACAATCCGTTGTTGGGTTGCTGCCCCTGAATTTGTAATTTTAAGGAAATTTTGCAGTTTTTGAATATAATTATAGATAGAGATAAACTGTAAACAGCAATAATGTTCAGCAAAGTAAGATCTACAAATAATTTAAATGACAAAAATTGTCAATTGATCCCTTAAGGAGTTATTGCCCTTAATAGTCATTTTTAACCATTTTTCGTAATTTTTTGTAATCTTTTACAAAAATCTTCTCCTCTGAAACTACTTTGCCAAATTTAATCACACTTGGCCTCAATCAACATTGGGGTATCTAGTTTTTAAAATGTGTCCGGTGACCCCGCTTGCCATCCAAGATGGCCAACATGGCTAAACACAGAACACAGGGGTAAAATGCAAGTTTTGTCTATTACTTTGAAAACCATTATAAAGAGAGAAAATCTGACCAGAGCAAAAATATTCAGATTGTTGAGCTCTACCAATTGTCCATGCATGTCTAAACTGTCAGATGACTTCTTATAGGAGTTATTGCCCTTAAATGACAAATTTTACCTTTTTTTTTTATGTTTGCGTACTAAATTGAAATTATAATAGATACAGAGAAACTTTAAAATGGTCAGCAAGACAAGTTCTACAAATAAGTCAACATGGTCGAAATCGTCAATTGACTCCTTATTAGAGTTATTTGATGATGATTTTGACCAATTTTTTTGCGTTTTTGCCTTATATCTGAAAATTTAAATAGACAGATAGAAGCTTAGCTAGGCAAAAATGATCAGCAAAACAAAATCTACAATAAGGACAATATGAAGGAAATGGTCAGACGACTCCTTATTGGAGTTATTGCCTTTTTAAGACGATGTTCCCCTCTTTTTTTTTGCTTTTTGCCATATACGATAGACAATTATAAAAGATAAAGATACACTTTAAATTACAAAAATGATCAGCAAGTCAAGATCTACTAACAAGTCAAATCTTGCCGATATAGTTTAGTAGACTGTCACTCTTTCTAGGAGTGATTGCCCTTAAATGAGGATTTTTTTATCCTCTTTTGTGTTTTGAGCAAAAACTAAAGAAGATGGAGAGAAACTAAACAGGCTAAATACAGCAATACAATATTAACAAAACAGATTTTTGTCATGAATTCTATTCTTTTCTACAATGTTGGAGAGTGTCCTTTGTTGAATATGCACATAGAACAAGGTGAGCGACACAGGCTCTTTAGAACCTCTAGTTACAGTTTGTTCTTATGTTGTACTGTTACACCACTGTCCCAGGTTAGGGGGAGGGTTGAGCACTCACAAACATGTTTAACCCCGCCACATTCTTTATGTACCTGTCCCAAGTCAGGAGCCTGTAGTTCAGTGGTTGTCGTTGGTTCATGTCATATTTGTTTTTCGTAAATTGTTTTGTTATAAATTACGCCGTTAGTTTTTTCAATTGAACTGTTTCATATTTTTCATGTCTGGGTTTTTCTCATTGTTGAAGGCCTCACGGTTGCCTATAATTGCTTACATCCACTTCATTTGAACTTTGGTGGATAGTTGTCTCATACCACATCTCCTTATTTTATATGGTTTTAAAACTCTTTGACAAGTATCTCTTAAATAGTTCCATGTTATATAACAGTATTTGACATGAGATGATCATCATATATACTTTAACAAAATTAAAGGGTAATTAATAATCAATATTAATCTTTGTTTAAATTGTGCACCACTTTTTGCTGATATCTGTTTATTGTTGAAACCCATGCCGTTGATCCTTGGGTGTGTTTTGGTTATTTCTTTGTGTTGTTTTCTCATTGTCATATACCCCTACAATTTCTGGAACCTTGCTCTTTCTGTGTAGGATAAGCATGAAAATGAAGAATAACGTAAAAATTTAATAGGTCTGAAATACCATATTGAACTTTTAGTATAATAATTGTCGATTCATCTGGGGTTTCTATCAAGATTTTGGGCGATATATTTCCCTAAACCGGAACTACCGCGGGGAACTTACGCATGGTAGAATATACGTTATCCTACATAATATTTGTTTTCCAACATTTCGTACCATACGCAGAAACAATAAAGCAATCTTTGTTCTTAATGTGAATCATGGCACATATTAAACCAAATAAAGGAGCCATATAAAAAATTTTGTTATTCTTAACGGTTAATTTCGACTTTGTTGTTTTTTTTCTTCATTGCATGAAGAGCTAAGTCGCTGAAGATTTATTGCTATTCGTTATTATCATCTGTTCAATTGTCTAGATGAATATTATATGGTATTTGAACACTTTTTAATTGTATTTGCAAGGTTACCTCTGTCAATAATGATTGTCATATACATGTATCTACGAGAGAAAAATGAATTCACAATTAATTACCGATTTGAAGTGCTTATATCATATCTATTTTAATATATTCACATGTCAAATTGCAATGTACTAATTAAATCGAAATTAAAATTCTTGGTTGTAATTGATCTTGTTCATTTGAAGAATGGGGATTGTCACTGTCCTGTTAGCTTTGCTTTTGTTGTCATGTAAGTATTCATTTAAAAATAAGCAACTTGTGTAACTGAAATTGTTCCGATGACTTATTGTTTTACTATGAATTGATAATGACTCTCTCGGTTCATTATTTAAAGACCGGATTATCTCAGGATATATACAGCGGTTTTATTCCTTTACGCAAATTATTTTTCCGCAAAATTTATATTATCTTTCCGCAAACGTATGGACTTTTTTCGGCAATTACTATTAATTCAAATGGTATTTCTAGCTATAAAACCACGTTTAATCCACCATTTTCTACATAAGGAAATGCCTATACCAAGTCAGGAATATGACAGTTGTTTTCCATTCGTTTGATATGTTTGAGCTTTTGATTTTTCCCGATTTGATAAAGCACTTTCCGTTTTAAATTTTCCTTGGAGTTCGGTATTTTTGTTATTTTACTTTTTTTTCATAACAATTGCTTGACGTTTCCGCAAATTTTCGCATCCTCTGTAATCCCTTGTAGTAAATGTTGTATTGTACATACATGTATCTGAAAATAAAAAAGAAAATTATTCAAAATATAAGCATTTTAATCTTTAATTTAGAAATTATATTTTTTAATACATACACGGATAAAATCAGCACATATAATATGGAGAAACCATTTAATCGACAAAACCTTTTCATTTTTCACAAATATAGTAAAATTCCAATATGAATTGATATAAAATTCAAATATACATGCAGATGCAATTTTGATTTTTTTAAGGATTAGATAACCTATATGTTAATGTTTTATACTTATGCATTTACTTCCTTAAGAATTGATTGATTGTTGCTTGCTCAACGTCCAGTGACAAGTATTTAATGTACACTTGAAGGACGGGAACTAATTAACCATTAATACAATAGGTATGTCCTACAAAGTGGGTATGAGGGTATGACTGGTATGGTCAGTTTTTTGTAATAGGCCACAAGCGAGTTGTTGAAAGGTTCTTACGACAGTACCCCTTGTTTCCCATGCATATAGGGTAGGTTAATTAATTTTGCCATTAGCAATGCATTGAAGTTACAAATTTATTAAGGGGCATTTTTTTAAATCATCTTTTAAGATTGCTTATGGTATACTAAATTGAAACTTAAAGAACATTCATTAAGTCTCTAGGAACTGACATAAATCAACCATTAAAACATAAATAGTTACATTTGGACAGATACATACATGTACATGTAAAAACATAATTAATGAAACCATATCTAAGTGACGTATGTTATATTTACAACCTGGGAATAGTCAATACATTATGGCCCAGTTACAACCAAAGAATCTTTCAATGTTTAAATTTAATTTTGATCCATTCCAGTGTATAATATTTTTTTTTCGTTCATTATTTTGTACATAAATTAGGCCGTTAGTTTTCTCGTTTTAATTGTTTTACATTTGTTATTTCGGGGCCTTTTATAGCTGACTGTGCACTATGGGTTTTGCTCATTGTTGAAGGCCGTATGGTGACCTATAGTTGTTCATTTCTGTGTCATTCGGTCTCTTGTGGAGAGTTGTCTCGTTGGACAATTATACCACATCTTCTTAATTTTATATGTACACTTTTTATTAATTTTCAAAAGTCAAGGAAGCGAGATACCTTTCCGAATTTTAAAGATCGCAACTAATTTTTCATTTACTTATTTTGTTAGGTTGACTTTTACCTAACATTCCACAGGCGCTTGGGGAATAGACACCCCCTTTTATAATAAATATTTTTTTTTTTGTGTTTTAAATGTTTAAAGTTTATATTCTTTAATAACGAGAAAACGCGAAAACGCGAAATTGGCCGCATCCGGCTTCCATAAACTTACCCTCTTTTCACTTATTTAATATGATTTTGCTCTTATCAATACGATATTAAAATAACAGTATTCAAATATGACCCCCCTCTATTATAACTTTCCGCACTTGGTGGAAAATTATAGTAGAAGGGCATCAAATTATAAAAATGCAAGGTCAGCAAATATCTGGTTTGTGTATTTATATCGTGAAATTGAAACATCTTAGAAAAATAATATTATCATTTCAAAAATTAAATTTAATGTATTCCTGGGGCTCTTTTCAGAAAAAAATAGTCCGATTAAAATACATCGTTAGTTACACTTAACTGTTAATAATTTACTAGTATTTTGTCTCGTACCATTTTTTTTAAACGAGTCTCTGGTTCTAGCAGGAAACATAAGTAGTTTTGTTTTACAGCATTGGCTTCAAAAGGTATAGCCATCTTGTCATAACAAAAATTGGACAATACATTTTTCAATAGATATTTCGACCAGCTGTAAATCAAATAAGCATGGTCAGATTATAGAAAATAAAGATTATCAGTAAAAATACACAACTTTTTCTATTTCAATCTTAATATTTTGTAAAGTGTGTCCATTGATTTCCGGATCATATAAAAAGTATAGCCGTTTTGTCACAACGTCCGCAATACCTAATTATGTGCTGCTCGTATTCTATAATCACGGTTATGATGATCTTATCCAGTTTAAATCCAATAAAACTGTGAAAATTAAATATAAGTTATTATATTAGCCACAAATACGAACATACAATACAATGGTTCTAGTTAATGAAATAAAACTACCCTTGAACGCTTTTTATCTATGATCGTTCTTTTGAACAACGTCAAAATCTTCTCGTTGTCAGGACTTTCGTGTAACGCTCTTTAGTAAGTTACAATACCGTGCGCTACGTTTCCATTCAGAGGTCACCATTGTTTCGATTTAAAGAAAGCTTAACCGGCGTTCAAACTTTAGGGTCCATCTGTATTTATCAAATATATTTACGTATATTAGTATTATCCAAGAAGCTAACAAGTTTAGGAAATATTTTTTATTATTAATTATAGTCTTATTTTGTTGTTTAGTCACTCTGTATTGTTTTTGTTTTTTATCATTAAAGCTGTTTTGTTGATAAGACTTAATGATAAAACATCGAAAATATAATTTTTTTTCTCTTCTCGTAGTTCACTTGTAAAATTTCATTGTTGCATCGATAAAACACACACACACACACACACACACACGCACTAAGCTACCGTGTAACGGAACTGTCTAATATATACTTCATCCCGATTACAAATTAGATTGACAGATCAAAAACTAAATGTCAAATGCAACATGAACAGATGTGCACGTTTCGAACAGTATAAAGCGTGGTTTTATTGGAATTAAAATAGAAAATAAACACGGAAAACCGCCCCTTATCAGATTCACGTAATGAAAATCACACTTCAGAAGCAATACACGACATAATCTGACACCATATCAATTGAAATGTGTCAAATGAAGACAGATTCTTCACGTTAGATAATAATTATTATATTGACATAATGAACAATTGCCTGTACCATGTGTACGTAAGATCCTACTCTAAAAGTCTGTCTCGGTGTTGTTTTTTTTTTAAATGCTTTTCATCCCGGGTAGTCCTGAAGACGTTAACAGAAACATACAACGTAGTTTAAACTTAATCAACATTCAGAGAATTAGCGAAATTGTAAAAATAAGGCGGTGTGATGTAATCATATATATATCTGTAAGATCTTGCACTAAAAGTCTTTCTCGGCGTTGTTTTTTTCAAATGGTTTTCATCCTGGATACTACAGTCATGAAGAAGTAAACAGAAACATCAAACGCAATTAAAATTGTGAAAAATAGTGGAATATAAAAATAAGGAGATGTGATGTAATTACCAATGAGACAACTATCCATAAAAGACAAAGGACAAAGACGTGAGGACAGCCTTCATAAAAATAAACTTACCGTACTACTGATGTCGTAAAGTGAGCTATAATAGACCGAGATGACAAAATTTTAAATAATTTGAAAACAAAACAGTCTGATCTATACAATATAAATAAACAGTCTGATCTATACAATATAAATAAACAGTCTGATCTATACAATATAAATAAACCAGTCTGATCTATACAATATAAATAAACAGTCTGATCTATACAATATAAATAAACAGTCTGATCTAACGACAACCTTTGGATTACAGACTCTTTGACTTCTGAAACAAAAACATGGTTTGGTAAAACATGTTTTTGCGCGGTCAACTCTCCTTTTATGACAGTATTGTAATAACACTATATACGAACAAATTGTAGTTACCAGATGGAATTGGGAAATTGACTAATAAGCTCGGCATTAAGGTCGGAAACAAGTGAGACTATCGTTCTAAGATCACTTAAATTTACTGGAAGCTAGTCCAAAGCATAATTGCGTCTAATAAATGAACCTCACATACATAATTATATTATATATCCGAGGTCACGTCGTTTACAGAGACGACGGAACAAATGTATTCAATTAATATAAGTAATAAATAATAGTTTTATTTTTAACTCTAGTAATAAAATGTCTGAATCAGGAAGTTATCGAATGAAGTTGAACAATCTTTCTATGTGAAAAAAATACGGTAATTCAATGACTAAATTTAATTGTCACCACAATCGATAGCATGTCACTATTGACTTATGAAGAACTACTTCTATTTTATGCCCCCTTGTAGTCGAAGGGGGCATTAAGTGTTACCCTGGACCGTCCGTCCTTCCGTCCGTCCCAATTTCGTTTCCGCACTCTAACATAAGTTTTCAGACCTCATCCAAATTTTATGAAACTCATACAGAAATGCTAAGAACTAAAAACCCGCAGACAGAGTTCGAATTTGTGAAGTGAGTCACTTACCGTTCTAAAGTTATGCCCCTTTATAACTTGGAGAATTGCATTTTTTCTGTTTCCACACAAATTTTATGAAACTCATACATAATGCTAAAAACAACAACACGCAAACAGATTTAAATTTTGGCAGTTATAACTTGGAAAATTGCAAATAATCTAGTTTCCGCACTCTAACTTAAGTTTGTCTCACTCAAATTTTATGAAACTCATGCACAAGTTAAGAACCATAACACGCAGACAGATTTTGAATTTGGGTAGTGAGTCATTTACCGTTCTAGAGTTGCAAAGCTCGAGCGGGGGCATTCGTGTTCTTTTTTAATCTAAATTATTCAGTTTCTAATTCCTGACTCTCAATTCAACGAAAATATTTTGATTATCAACATTCACATATGAATACTTTTCCTCCATAACATAGAAAAAATATAAGATATAAGATATAAGATATACAATATGAAATATAAGATAGAAGATAGAAGATAGAATCGGATTGTTACACCACAAATTAACAATAAACAATACAAATATGTAACATTCACAAATAAAGTATAATCTTAAATTAAAACATATAAGTTATATTTGTATTTTACACTTTTTCCCCTCATTTTTCTTAAATGCTAGACATCATGCCTCTCCTCAAATAAGCACAAAAATTACTATGTAAAAAGAAGGTGTATGACACAAACAGCGAGATCTATGTAAAGTGTAGTTAGACTAATGGTCTTTATTTAGTTTTGAATGTATTTTTTCTACATAATATGTACTTGAATCAGCTAGAACTATTCATTGTATCCGTATTTTAAGATTTGCCCATTGGTTAATGAGTTCAGATATCAGATTTTATCCAAAGGACAATCCTTCGACAGAAAAAAAACTGTGTTGCAATGACATCTACTTCTATTACATAGATGCTGTGACTTGCAAGTACAAAACGGTGGCAGGCTTCTATATATAAAAGAACTTTAATTTAAACTATAGACCAGGGAACAATGCTCTCTACTTATTTCAATTACTTGTTGCCGCTCAAACTGGCTATTCAACAAATATACAACTCAGTTGTTTGATCATCTATCTTGGAAACAACAACGAAATCACACAACTTGAAATAAATGTCCTAAACCCATAACTCGAAAATTGTTTCAACATCTACAACCAACACTAAACTTATTATATAAACATTATTATCATCAACTTGTGACTTAACTTGTTTAACTATCTGTATTACTTCGACAATAAAAATTAAATATGATTGCTTTATAGCATTTATCCCTGTGGTGGATTAAGGAGGGAGAGGGCGACCTCTTTGATCGAAAAAATGTCATCTTTTTGCATAAAATCGAAATCATATATATTTCAGTATATATTCCGTTCTGGGGAATTACGGCCCACTTTCAAAAATCCAGGATCAGCCCCTGTATCCGACGTTAAACAGCAATTATGTTTTAATCAGTCACCATAGAAGGATTTTATTTCATACCGGCCTATCGGTTAATACAACAATGACTAATAAACAAAGTTAGTTAAAAATGACAAGTTAATCTGCGTTTTTTTTTTTCAAAATGGAAATCACATAATAAAATAGACATAAAATTCTAATAATTGTCATTTGGTTGTTTATAATAGAAAATCATATTGTTCGATTCGATTGTTTACAGGCGTCGAATATTTTACGGAATGACGCAATGGGAAGGCAGAAATTAAATCAATTTACAATTGTGATTAATGAGTGGGAATAATAAATAGTGAAAGATTAAACTGTCATATCAAACTGAAATACGATTGACATGTTGAAAGTAGGGCGATATTTTCCGCAATAAAAATTATTTGAAAGCCAAGGATTTATAAATACCTGAACACTTGAGGAGCTATTATTAAGTCTTATATAACTATTACGTACTTATACATCTATGGCTTTCTATTTCTTATTTAGGCGTTCTCGATAAATGCGCTTCGGACGCATCACATTTATTAACTGTTGATCCAATACTGTTTCTTGAATGTGGTTGATTGGTCTGTACGGGATAAACTGAAACTGTTGAAGTTGAGATCGAATTTTAATTTTGAGAATTTGTCATGCATTCTCTGCACGTTAAAGCATTATAATCGAAGCTCCAATGAGGGATGTATAAATACATAGTCAATTTCGGCGATTATGGGCATTTCATATGTATATATTACTGTAAAACTCATGCGGGATTATGTCAGGCCCTGTTAAGTTAATAAAACCCTTGCTCTTTTCAAGCTCTTGCTGAGAAAAGTGTATGTTCATTTAGCTACCAGGCTGTATATAATGTGAAAAATCAGTAATTTAAAAAAAAATCTAATTGAGAACTTAAAGGCATGGAGAGAGAAACGTGATCTCAACGCACAAGAGAACACACCTCTTTCGCAAGATCTCATGAATAGCATATATTGCAAACCTTTAATACATGACGTATTTTTACATACATTCAACGTTGAAACATTAAACGCTGTCTTGAAGACTAATTTTCCTTAATTTACTAAGGGACGATCATTTTGAAGGTTACTAATTTAGTCATAATCATTTGCCTTATAGTTAGGGGATGTCTAAAATGCATCTGAAACATGAAGACTGGAAAAGATTTGAAAGAAGTGGGAGGGTGGTCGCACCGTAAATCTGCTTCAATTTATCACTTTAATTTGTAAAGTACTTAAAAATGATTGCCTGTCACTTATTGTTCTAACGATGATCTTTTAAAGAGTATTTTCCTCGGATAGACAGTTTGTATACATGTTGATTTTTCGGTCCGATTTTGCGGATAGTGATACCATGACACCTTTTAAATATACATAATTATGGAGGTTATTAACATTACTTACAATTTATTCATTGAACAAAGTTCAGTGACTTTTGCGTTATATATTAATGGTTTTGTCCTTAGAATTTGGAAATTTATAAATCATTTTCAATTGATATTAGCAGAGACATATATACACATGGGTATATATGTCTCTGATATTAGTGATCTTTTTATACAATAATTCTCATGCCACTGTCATAATTAATCATGTTGGTTTTTTCTTTCTTTTGGCAAGGGTGTTGTCTATTTTTCTTCAATTTTATATCTGTACTGGCTCTTAATTATATTCGTCTTCTTCCATGTAGTGCGTTTTAATATTTTACACAAAAATTGTGCCCCACATTTAAAACATAATTGCAGGATGTTGATAAGATTTGAATACTTGGGTATTACACTGATTGACCTACAGAGAGTATGTAGCATTGGTAAACACACCCGCTACCGAAACTAGAAGAGGGCATACATTTCTAGACACTACTAATAGTGTAGCTCCTTCAAAGTTTCATTTGAAGATACATGATATAGTTTCTCTAAAATTTAGTCACAATTTTTCATTCCCGAGTGCGAGTTAGAGCTTGACATATTGACTATTGTAGAAACATCTGTCTTTTTTTAACATTTCTGTTGACACAATTGTGTCATTTTTTCTTTTGTGTCGTTGAGTTGTACTCTCGTTGATATAAACCACACTTCCCCTTTTTATCATGAAAAATACATTTTCAGCAAGAGCTATGTCTTAAAAAGAATGAAATTAGTTATTGCAAAATGCAACATGAATATTAGTCAATAATTTTTTTTTTTAATTTTCAAGCGAGGGAAATTTTACAATCAAGTTAATTCTAACGTAATTGAAGAACATACGTGATTATTTTGATGATAACTTAATTGCAAAAATAAAGGTAATTGAACTGCACAATATCTCGTTTGTTTGTATCTAGGTATTGATGATGCAGACAGTAAAACGAAGCTGGACGATGATGACCCATCTCAAGACGTAGGAAAGCTTATAGAAACAATTAAAACAATTTTGGAAATAAAAAATGATATAAAGAGAGCTTACGAAAATGTGGCTAAAAAACAAAAATCAACTAACGCTAAAGACAAAGATTGTGAGAAAATAGATGCAGCAACAAAACCAACTACTTTTAATACACGTCAGCCTAGCACAATTAACAATGTTAACCATTCACCGCCATTCAAGTATTCTGAAACAGTAGACAAACCAGCCATTGGTAAAACAGAATCTATGTTTAAACATACAAAATCAACTGGTGTAGAAATATATGATATACTTTCAAAGCAAAACAACAACAATGATAGAAATTCATTAAAAATTCAAAAGGCTGGGGGAAAAAACTCTGCCAACAAAGATATAAAAAAATTAGGACAAACAACAGAAGATGTGACCGACAAAATATCATCTTTAAAAAAAAAACAAATTGTCACGATTAAACTGCCAAAGGATGCACATTCTACTTCTTCTAAACCTACCAATAAGGATTCGAAAAAAATGAAGGATTCATTGACTCCAACTGAAACAGAAGAGTCCCAACCATCGTCTGCGAAGGTACACTCCGAGACCAATCATAATTTTAAGAATAAGAAAGATGCCGTAGTTATCATGCCTATTAAATCACAGTCCTTTACTATTAATATTTCAAAAGGTGATACCGTATTGCCTAAAACTACAAAATCAGTAAGCGAAATTGCAAAAAGTGAAAGAAAAACAAGCAAGTCACCACCTTTACCTCCACCAACAAATTCGATGGCTCAGCGTAATGTCACAAGAAATACAGTTTCAGTTAAATCCAAAACAACAGTGCCGAAAAAGTCAACTAAGGGAGGTGTTATGTCATTGGCTGATTTAAACAGTTCAAATGACGATATTACATTACATAAAACCTCAGGACCGGTTAATAAAATTGTTATAATTCCAAAATCACCTCTATCGTCAACCAAGCAAAATGGTATTATGGATGATGGCCAGAAAAAGAATATCGTATCGTCCGGATCATCTGCTACAAATCAACCAAATAAGTCTCATAACGGAAAAACTGAGTTGCATTCACATCAAAATACAGAACCTTCAATTACTGGGAAAAAACCAACTATTGCCGATAAAGCTATAAACATGGTATCTTCAAATGATGATGAAAACCATCTTAGCATCTCTAGAAATTCAAAATTTATCACTGGAATTAATGACGATGGTAATAAACGTCTATTGCATAAAAATGACTTTTCATATACGGAAAAACTAACCAGTCAAAAGAAAGGTTTACTTGACACAAATGAGCCGGTAAAGCACAACATATCAAAACCCATATTCAACACTGCTGATGAAAATCAATCGTCATCGAACAAGGAATTTTCCTGGAAAGGAGTGTCGGGTAAAAAAAACCGGAGTTCACCATTATCCAAAGATATAACAGTATATAATGACAGAATCCACACTACAAAAATTCAATCAGAACAAACACAAACTGAAGTAAACAATGGCAACCACGTATCATCTGTAACACGGACCGATTCTCCAATTAAAAATCAGAATATGAAACGTACCTCAGATTCAAGTTTTTTGTCTGTAATGAAAATAGAAGAAAATTTGAAATCCACATATGGGCAACATGATAATGATAATGAAGTATTGGGAAAAGGACACGTAACAGCTGAAGACAAATCAAATACTGAACGAAAATCCTTTCTAGACCCTAAAGATCCAATGCTGAACGAGGATGTACGAGAGGGAACGAAGAAACTTGTTGTGGGGAAGATAAGTCCATCAATTATAACTGGTAACGGTCAACTTGCTACGGAAGCTGTGGAATCAGGACAAATTTCTATGTCCCCTGGATTGTCAAATAGTAATGTATTTGTTGTAAATGCTGGGCCAAGATTTGTGAATAATCAGGAACATGTCCCCTTTTCCAGTGTTTCAATTAAAAAAGTTGATAGAAAACAAACCATAGATGGACTAAATCTGGGACAGAAAAAAGTAAGTAAACTATCAGATAGCAATATGTCTTCAAACGATGATGAAAGTAAGATTAACAGCATAACCACGGATTACGTTCCTATATCAAAGGTTGCCAATTTAGCTAACGTTTCGGAAATTTCTAACATTACCAAAACTGAAAATATACAAGTGTCCGAAGAAACTAACAATCAGCCTAAACATAATACAGTGTCAGGTTCCATTGTCACAGAATCATTCGGGATAGACCAAGTAGTTGCTAGGAATACACTGTCATCCCGCAGGAAACTCGATTCAATTGTGCCTACTCAGCCTAAAAATGCATATCATTTATCTAAAGGAACATCCATAAACAGAAATTTCTTTGATCAAGCGGTTTATGGAAACAGAGTGCAAAGCATCAACACTCTAAATGTGTCACCTAACGAGAAAACAAATACTGGCAATTCTATTATAATAAATTTGAAAGTTCACAGCAATGACGAAAACAGATTTCACAAAAGTTTTGATAAGAATGACGACTCGGACTTTCCTAAAAGTGGAGTGTCTGTAAAAAGTTTATCGACAGATTCACCTGTTTCATCCAAAACTAATGGATCCTTGTTCGTTGTTACCGCATCACTTCAAAGCACACCAACCAAAGTACGGAAGGCTAAATTAAATAAGGATAAAAAGAAATCTTTCGGCACGATTTTTGTTCCAACCACACAAATGGCTGGTTTTGTACCAATGAAAACTATTGTTGATCCGTTAGAACAGTTCTCTAAAGATAAAACAGAATTTACTGAGGATCCAGAAATGAAAATCAAAGAAAAATCTGATATCACTGAACGTAATATATCTAGTGGTAAAGCAACGTCTATGGTACCGGCTGGATTAACAATTCAAATTCTTTCATCAAAAAAGGATGAAAACAAACATAAAAGTTCCAAGAATGCAATGAATGCAGTTTCCTGGAAACTTAAAAAGACTGGACAAAAAGCCGTTATAACAAAACCTGGTAAGTAGAAAATAATTTTAATAAAAAGTAAAATAACAAAAATACCGAACTTCAAGGAAAACTCAAAACGGAAATTCCTTTATCAAATGGCAAAATTAAAAGCTCAAACACATCAATCGAATGGAAAACAACTGTCATATTCCCGACTCGGTACAGGCATTTCCTTATGTAGAAAATGGTGTATTAAACCTGGTTTTATAGCTAGTTAAACCTCTCACTTGTATGACAGTCTTATAGAATTCCATTTTGTTGACAACAATGCGTGAGCAAAACAAACAGATATAATAGGTAAAAATGTCAAAAATTGGGGAACAGCAGTCAACATTGTGTTATATAAGCTTAATCACTATAAAAACAAATAACTATTTCAACATAGAAAAACAAAACGGTACATAGACACTCTATAGACAAAGTACATAAGCAAAAATGAAAGTCAAATGAATGAAACGGTTCGTCAAAAGAACTACAAAAATTAAACATTTATCAGTCACAACTGCAAACAGTTTAAAGGTTCAAAATAAACTGACACATTTGAATGTGCAGTCCCATACAGTGAACAAATTTTGATTAAGTAAAATATTTTGGACCCTGTCAACCAATCAATTAGCTGTATTTGACATAACATTTCAGAATTTTTGGCCCTTAATGCTCTTCAACTTCGTATTTTATTTGGCTTTTTTCTTTTTTTATTCGAGCGGCACTGATAAGTCTTTTGCAGACGAAATGCATGTCTGACGTACACAATTATAAGCCTGGTATCTTTAATGAGTTTTTAAACGACCGCAAAAAATTGCAGCCGTATAATGTTATGGCGATGTCGTCGTCGTCGTCGTCGTCGTCCGAAGACATTTGGTTTCCAGACAATAACTTGAGTAGAAGTGTATGGATCTCTATGCAATTGTACCACAAGGTACCGTACCACAAGAGGAAGGTTTGGGTTGATTTTGGGGGTATGGCCGTAACCATTTAGGAATCGGGGACCAAAAAGGAGCAAACATTAAGGATTTCTGGTTTCCGGACAATGACTTGAGAATAAGTCAATGGATCTCTATCAAATTGTACAAAATGGTTCTAAAAAGGAAGGGTAGGGTTGATTTTGGGGGTCACGTATGGCCCTCACCGCTTAGGAATAAGGGAGCCGAAAACAATACTTTTTTCATACTAGTACTTTGTATCAATTGCCTATTTCTTGACCAATTTCAATGGGGTTTAATTCAAAGTCTTGAATTCTTTGGGTTCTTTATTATGCTCATGTATATGTATTTAGATTTTTGATTTTAAGACCGGTTTTGAATTGGTCCATATTGAGGTCCAAAGGGTCCAAAATTAAAATTTGCTTTATTTTACTAAAATTGGATTATTGGTGTTATTTAATATGCCTAATCTAACCGTGTATTTCGATTTTGGATATCGGACCATAATAGGTAAATGTCTTATTTAAAATTTTTAATCATTCTATGTCAGAAACCTATGCTGTGTCAAATATTTAATCACAATCCAAATTAGGAGCTGTACCAAGCTTGAATGCTGTGTCCGTACTTGTCCTAACTGGTCTGAGTTTGACCTCTGCGGTTGTATCAAGCTGCGCCTGAAAGCTTTTTATTCTATATTATGTATATTATGAAGACCATTCCCCCAACCGTTCAACAGACCAAAAACAATCCGAGATTACTTAAACAACAGTTACAGGTAGACGTAAATATTTGTGTTCCATTCCATTTACAGTATTTGTTAGATGAACATCATATCAGAGGCAACAGTATATCCCCAAGGTTCCATTCAATTAGAGTTAAAAAAAAAAATATGAGAAAATCGATTGATAGGAGGGAGACCGGGTATGTCGACATTGTAAGCGTCTTCTGCTATATAAAAATAAGAAGATGTGGTATAATTGCCAATAAAACAACTCTTCACAAGAGACCAAATGACACAGAAATGAACAACCATAGGTCACCGTACGGCCTTCAACAATGAAAAAATCCCATACCGCATAGTCAGCTATAAAAGGGCCCGAAATGACAAATGTAAAACAATTCAAACGGAGAAAACTAATGGCCTAATTTATATACAAAATAATGAACGCAAAACAAATATGATACACAGAAACATACGACAACCACTGAATTACAGACTCCTGACTTGGGACAGGCACATACAGAATGTGGCGGTGTTAAACATGTTAGCAGGCGCCCAACCCTCCCCTAATCTGGAACAGTGGTGTAACAGTACAACATAAGAATATGCTTGCATCATTTGGTAATATTATTTAAACAATATCAAACATTCTTGACACACTCAACATGATAATGGAACTATTTCTTTTTTGTTTATATTTTTTTTTATTTGATTTGTTTTTATTGAATGCTTGATTGGTATATTTTTATTATCTATTTTTTTCGATCGCAGTAGTATTTAAATATTTTTTGCAAAACTAATTATTGCTTTGTGAAAAACAGAAAAACTCCTTTATTTTAGACAGAATTTGCGCTAACTTAATTTTATTCTAAAGAATTTAAAACAAAACATGCGTTCCTCAATAAGAATTATGCCCTTTGTAACAATTTTCACAAGTTAGTAACCATGCCAACTGTATAAATTATGGAAACACACAACTTCATTTCAGATTAACGTTTTATGTTTGAAGAATTTTTAATAGGAAATTTCTTTTATAAAAGGTCCTTGGTCAGACAGTAATGGAAAAAGGTTATGATAAAATGGTTTTGAAATTATACCTGTATGTTACTTTAATGCAAATGATTTTATTTTTCATGAGATCTGCACAAATTCAAATTTTAGAAATCTACAATGAAAACTAAACAATCACATTATAGGATTATTATGGAGAAGTTAGTTGCTGAAATCCAATAAGAAAAATAATTAGGGTTTTACATGTACTAGAATAGTACGGAATTAAAAAGGTCTCATGTTTTTCTCCAGACGAATAAAATTAGTTATCATGCTAAATTTGTATGCCGAATTCTGACATACAAACAAGATAAAATCTCTAGTCATTCTATATATGGAATCTGACACTAGTCGACAGGCAAAGTTGACCTTAGATGGATTTGGCTATTATTTAATGTAGTTTTTGGTCATGTAGCTCTTCAAACTTTTCGATTCTTATAAATCCTTGGCTTTAAAATTATTGGCTTTGATCGTTCCTGATAAAGGTAAATCCAGAAAAGAGCTTCTGATCATGACATGTTTAAAGTGTTGTTTCAATTTTTTAGTCGAGAAAGAAATTATTTCTCAAATAAGATGTACCATAAAAAGGATTTTCTAAATAAATAGGATTATCATGCAAACAAAAACATACACACTTTTTTCTTTCCAAATTTACAAGAAATACCAATCTATTTATCTTAAAGTGCATATCTTAGAATAGGTTGCTTAATACGAAAATGATAATGCTCTGAAGAATTGTATGCTTCATTTCGTACAAGACAACCATAAAAATGGCGATGAAAGAGATTAAAAAAAATACGATTGTGAAAATGTCGATAGGTTAACCATTATTGGTCGATTTAGTTCAACAACACATAAGGATAAAAGTACTCAATAATGTAGTTGATTTTTTAACAACTCAGTTTAAAAGTTAAGTTTTATTTTTTTTACTCAAAATTTCCATGATCATACTTGAAGCTTTTTTTGATACAACTGTAAAAGTGGTAAATGATGAGTACATCAAATTAACTTAGTTTAATGAAACAAATTATAAATATCTGTGACTTGGTATTTACCATCCACTTTGATCCTCACAAGGGAGGCGAAATATGCCAATTGGATATACAAACTCATACGTCGAAATCAAACTGACAATGTCATGGCAAAAAAACGAAAAACGACGAAAAGACTTTTTTTTGTTGAAACAACAGTACACAAAACACAACATGGAAAAATAAAGACTTAGCAACACGAACCCAACCAAAAACTGTGGGTAATCTCAGGTGCTGCGGAAGGGTAAACAGATCTTGCTCCAAATGTGACACCCGTCGTGTTGCTCGTGTAAGTACAATTCCGGTGATAAGTCTAATTCGGTAGTTACAAAGAATGACACTTATGCTTACGATGATTGGTACTGTCATGAATTTTAAAATGCTTTAATCTGTTTTGTTTTTTTTTACCGCGGAAGAGTCTGTTGTTTAAGACCGTTGGCTTGTAGTTTTTTGGGTGTTGGTGTCTTTGGGTTGGTGTCTAGTTTGCATATATTCCACATCGCTTTTTATCCATAAATATCTTAGGGAGTACACTAGTTCCTTGTTAGTCCATAATAACCAACAAAGATTAATAACCAACATGAGCAATCACTGCAACACCTGGGGTATCACAGTAATAGTAGTAGTTAAAAGTATAGACAATCTAAACAAGCATGTAAAAAGATAAGTATGAATAACACTTATGTACTTATATACTTTGCTAGACTGGTCATGTCATGAGTGAATGATACAGGCATCTGATTCCTCATAGTTCTTTTGATTGTACAAATCAATATTAAAAAGTTCCTCCTTAATTTGCCTTACCTGACAATTAAAGTTACAATATCTCATATATTTTCTGTTTTAGGAACAAGCGTGAGTCCAACGTTGTCGACAGCTACTGAAAAACAGCACCACACGAATATGGATTCTTCTAATAATGAAAACAAACCTGCAGATTTGTATGAGAATACACATACAAGAACCACTAATGTGGATGGTTCAGAAGCAACCTCTACAAGAACCACTAATGTGGATGGTTCAGAACCAACTTCTACTAAGAAACAGCAAATTAAAATGTACTCTGTGCACCCAGGAATGGTACAGAGTATAACTAATTTTGAAAATAATAGAGTGTTATACAATGCATTCCGGAAATATAAACTTTCTAGTCAAAAACGACAGAGGAGATCAATATCAATTCCTTCTTTCTTACAAAAACCAATAAAAGTTTACAATAATGCGTATGGAACAGGTAAACGTAATCAGAATTCTATTCATATCAAAGGAACGAATAAAGTTAGAAAGATCTTTTTTGAAGTTCCAAACAATATTCATAGTAAGATTGAAACACCTACCGAATCATACAATGACTCAAAAGTTTTAAAGACTCAACCAGAAATCGAGGTGTTATTGAATTATGCATTAGAGAACACGAAAAATCCTGTTTATCAGAGTGACAAGAAAAGTGAATCATTGGGAGTTGTTATTCATCAATATACGACAGAGAAACCTACACTACAAAAACGCAAGAAAAGTCGGCACACAAAAAGACATATAAAAGACCGTCTATTTCGAAGGATAAGTAAATCTTTGTCAAATGGGCTGCCTATATATTCGAAAGCCAATAAAGAAAGTATTCTGGAGAAAAAACCTACAGAATTTTTTCCGGGAAATGAGTTAAGTCATGGTAGTGGGATTCGAATTAATCTGGGTAATATTCAACAAACTCTACAGGAAAACTCTGAAATGATTCGTTCAAAAGATGTATTAAAAGTGAACAAGAACAAATTTGATTTATCTCCATCAAAAACATTTATGTCTATTGACCATAATCCTGTTTCCAAGACTAAAATCAGACCGAAGAATATCTTTTATGATACAAAATTTGAATTACCAAAATCATCCAATCCTGCTGATATAAAAGAAAAAGATAACATTCCGAAACAAAATAATCAGTGGTATGAAATGCCTCAATCGAATTTAAAGCCGATATTCAAAACTCATCAACATGATAAGAACAAGGATAATAATGATAATAATAACAATTTACTTCCAGTTGATACTGCCATGCCTTTAAATAGACGAAAGATGCCAACATACAAATTTCCATTTAAACATTCCAATCAGATGAACGATAAGCCTACCAAAACAGAAGAAATAAAACCTACTAAAATATTATCATATCATAGCAGTGATACATCAAGCAGTGGTCTCTCTTCAAAGCCGGGAAAATCATTCGTGTATAACCCGCAACAGCATCACGACAGCATCACTGATAGGACGAAGTTTATATCTGGATTATCAGAGTTTAACGATATCGCGGTGGAAAATGATTTTCCCAATTTTAATAAAGAAAAGCCTTCTGAATCAAATCTTAATGCACACACTGATAATATGCCTAGTGTGAATGATATAGGGACTGATCAGATTGAAAAAAGTCGTTTAGATCCTAATCGTCCTAACGTCATTAACTTGTCAAATATTAAAATAGTGCCAGGGGGTTGTATAATCGAAGGCAGGTTCTATCGTTATGAAGATCTTCCAAAGTTTATTCAGGAATTTTATGATAACAAGACAAAAAACGAACATCTCGAACTGTCGCTCGGTGATGTTGAAAACGTTTTAAACGATTACACGGAAAACAAAGGTTCTATTTCTCAAAGTTTCTCAACTGAATTCCCAATGTTAGAGCTGATCAAAGGGAAAGATGCCAGTCCTTTTTCTATACAACTCCCAGAAGATTCTCAAGGATATGACATATTAGCGGGTCCACACCTCCACGAAAGTTCACGTCAGTTGGCTGTTTTACAAGCAAATAATTTCGCAGCAGGTAAGTGACGTTAATTTGATATAAACCCAAGCATGTAATGTTGACTACAGTGTTTCCTTACAGGAATTTGATAAATAACATTTTAGAGGGTCACTTTATTGTCATTCCTGTTAGATGTTAATGTCTTATCTTGTAGTTTTAGAAGAAATTAGAAAGGACACATTATGTAGTTTAAGGGAATTTGAAAGGGAATGGAGACATATTTAAGTTTTGGGTATAGTGAAAAGTTATAAACATGATTATTGGAAAAATATTTTTTTCAGGCAATGAACGTTTCGGCACGCCAAGAACAATGGTATCAAGGCCTGATATACACAATAGACAAACAAAAATAAAGGGAAAGGAAAACAACCGCCAATTATTCAATCCAGTTCTAAAATGGAGTGAAGGTGTTTCGGATAAAGCTTGGACAGGATTAGCCCCAGTCGCTAATTACCAAGTTGCTTCGGATATTAGAGTTGTAAATTCTTTATCACCAGGCCATTTTGGTGCTCAAAACAAAAACACCAACGATTACAGGACTTATAAACTGAACGGTAACAGCTTTGGGTCGTACAACAATGAAATGAAGGAAGTAATAAGCCTACCAGGAATGGGAATAAAAGACCAGAAGGTTTTAACTAAGTTTTTCAATCCAATTCACATCAGCAGTAAACAAACCGTTTCTCTTGTGCAGAGAAAAAATAGTGAATCACCACCTTCTACAAAGAGACCTAATGAAGGAAGTAAACTGTATTTAAATGACGTAAATACTGAAAAGAGTCATCAAAATAAATTTTTAAAAGGTGCTTCGGGTGATATTATTTTGAGGGGCTTTCTTGATATACCCCTGAATAGTATGTCAGGTAAACTAACATTGAGTAAAGCTTTAAAGAAAACAGCAAACCAAAAAACACAGTCAAACGGTGTTGCCAAAAAATTGGGTTTAGTACGAAAACAAGCTAAGCAAGATGCAAATTCAAATGGTAAAGCAGATAAACTGGTTTTTAAAAACCCCGTACAAGATGAGGCTTATCACGATGCATATGCAAACAATGATGCAGATAAACTGGATTTAAAGAGCCCAGTACAAGATAAGGCTATTCATGACCTACATTCAAACGGTGTCGCAAATATACTGGGTCACAACAGCTTATTACGAGAAAAGGCTAATAGAAATATACAATCAAACGGTGTCGCAGATAAACTGAGTTTAATGAGTAAAGTAAAAGATAAGGCTAATCAAGATGCACAGTTAAACGGTGTCGCCTATAAACTGGGTTCAAAGAGCCCAGTACAAGATAAGGCTACTCTGGATGTACGTTCAAATGGTGTCGCAGATAAACTGAGTTTAAAGAGCGAAGTACAAGATAAGGCAAATCAGGATGCGCAGTCAAACGGTGTAGCAAATAAACTAGGTTTCAGCAGCTCAGTACGAGGAAAGGCTAATAAAGATGCACAATATAACGGTGTTGCAAAACTTGGTTTGAAAAACGTAGTAAAATTACCGGCTAAGCATGTTCCAAGTGAACGGGTTTTACATAGCGCAATTCAAGAAAAAACTAATTACAAAGATCAATCCAACGGTAAGACAGATAAATTAAATTCAAATAAAGGAATACAAGAAAATGTTCACCGAGATACTACCATAGTTGACACGGTTAGTAGTGTCAGTACAAGACCAAAAGACAAATATCCCCATGATACGCGTATGAATAGCTTAGAAGAAAAACTAAAAAAACATACAGGAATACATGGCACAAGTCACAATGATATGTGGTTAAATGGATTAGACGGAAAACCAAGTTCAAGTTTAAATACTGGAATTCAAAACAAAAATCCCAATGATGTAAAGTTGAATGGTGTTGCAACGAAGAAACGTTTGAATAGCAGAAAACAAGACAAAACAACTCGACATGACAAGCAGTTAAATAGGGTTGTGTCTGTAAATACGAAAATACCAGAGAAAAGTGTTCTTCAGGATATAACACTTAAACAAAAAGATAAAGTCTTGTTATTATTGAAGGACAATAAGCGCAATTTAGACCACTTGAACAACAACGCATTTACAAATCTCAAAAGTATATTAAAGGCTACTTCCAGCGCACAAAAATCTGTCGCATCACACGTGCGTAGTGTAAAGAAGGAACTTGGACCTCGCACATTTTTTGACATAATTGAAAATAACATTATCAGCCCTTTTAAATCAGTACCAAAAGTTACTCATCTGAAAGATAATTTTGCTTCTAACTTCAATTTAGGGGAAATATTGAAAAATGGCATGTCTGCCTTTAATTATGAACCTGTTACGTTTCCAAATTTCATAGCGCCTCCGAAACGAAATTTAATAATAACACCTACAGCCAGTATCCCATTACATTTATCAGGACAACACAATCTGGACACTATTATGCACGAAATTGTGACATCACCTTTTGGGACGAGACAAAATTCAATAATGGACATTTTCGGCTAATGTTATCTCAAATCAGAAAAAAAAAAATCACCTTTGGTGATTACATATTAGATGGCTGCTTCAGGGGTATATAATGGAAGTTACTTTTCCTAAAATGAGCTTTATTGCTCTACGCTTACTCTCCGAAATAAAGGACGCGTGTAATATATGAATTATTTCAATTACGAGAAAGATCTGTTTATGGGGTCAGAATTATTTAGATAAAACAGAATATTAGACTTGAAAGTATGAAAACGCTATTTTAGTGACAGAATTTCTCATTCAAAAACAATAAATTTTATTGTACGGTTAGTTACAACATACTGTGTTTCAAAATCCGTCTTATTTATTTTAGCAAACAAAATAAATTATCTTAGCCAAAATGAAAGGTGTCGCTTTTTCGACTTTTTATAGACAAGCATCTGCTTGTCCTATTGTTGCTGCTTTTTCTGCAGATTATATCAGTCTGATAATTTTTTTATTCGACAAATGACTCTTCACTTTATACTCGCACAATTATAAAATGTCGAATTGTAATTATTTTTAATAAAATATCATTTATATTCTACGTAATTGAATACACCTGGGACTATTATACTAGTATAATAGTCCCAGAATAGACATATAAATATGTGTTTTCTCAATATATTTATTCTACGTAGTTGAATAGCAATAATATGTAGTAACAGGTCCGACTTAGAGTATCCTTTTCACCTATTTTTTTGTAAGTTAGTTTGACATATGCACATAATAGAAAAATCCAATCCATTTACCAATTTCCTTGTAAATTACATCTGTCAAACAAACAGAAAATATCAGTTAACACCCGGAAAATGTTTCACACTGTAAAACATGATAATTTTCTTGGTTTTTTTTTCGAGACTGCAAACGATTATAAACTTGGCCTTTTCAATATCAGTAAGAGGGTTACGCACTGTTTGTTCATTATTACGTAATTGTAAACTGTTTATTTTTCATATTTGTCACTTGATTACTAGATGTGACATTCATAATAACAAATGTACATGTATTATTACAAATGTTTTATTTTCATAGATAGTTATAAGCATCAATCATGTTATGCGTTCTTCATATTTTATGCAAAGCTTTCTTTTGACGCTGCCATTTTTTTGTTTGTTACTTTTTTATATGAAAAAATAAAGAATAAGGTAGATTTTCGTAAAGCAAATTCTTCCATGAAATTCTATGAAATGTCAAAATTTTCGAAGAAATGGCGATTTATATAGGGTGATGTTCTTTATCCTAAATGCTAGTAGAAGATCATCAAACAATAATTGAAGCGAGTAAAGTCTTCTTCAAATAGATTCTTGCATTTTTACTATGTATGGAAAGAAATGCGAATGAATGATACTTTATACATACTTTATTCATCAGCAGGATCTTGGAAGTAATAGACCCAAGCATCTTAAAGGACAACAAAATGTGACGTTAAAGATTTATTATCAAACAGTTTCTGTAGTCGGATTGATAAAAATGAAATGATTTCCGACAAACAAAAATGTCGAATAAACGAATCAATTAAACTTAAATTAATTGCGAAAAAAATGGAAGATATATAACCGGTTCATAACTTGAAATCAGTTTTGGTAGATGCAATAAGTATAAGTCGGGGTTTTCGATCGTGTGGATTGAACAAATAGTTATGCAAAATGTTGTTGTCCTTGAGATTTTCAAGACATTTTGACAAGGTTTCAGATTTTCAAGTGTTTTCCCCTGGATTGTCACAACGAAAAATGTAATTACTAATAACATAGGTACGTACACTGGTAAGGGGGTGGTGGAATATATCATGCTTTAGTACTGACTGCTACATTTGGTCAACAATCATCGAACAGTGACTTTTTTTATTATATTAAACAGGTTCTACATAAATGAAATCAATACTTTTACTTAATATGTAGTCGATTTGCTATGCATATTATGAGATCCTTAAGTTTCTGCTTAAACAACTGATGTTTTTGGACCAATATAGGTTCTGTATACTTTAAAATATTGGATTATTATGATATGCATATGCATTTCCTTTCACCTGCTCAATCTTTAGTTTTATGTTAAATATTGTGTGGACTGTCTTTTCGCCGATTTTCTTTTGGATTGGTATAGTCTGTTTTTTTTCCGACTTCTGGTTTGTATTGCCCCCTCTCTTTGATATGATATTCCTCTTTCTATACCGACATTAAAGTTCTTACCTTTTTACTGATAAAAACAAAGAAGCTATGGTATAATTGCCAATGAGACAACTCTCCACCAGAGACCAAATGACGTAGAAGTGAGCAACTATATGCACCGTATGGCCTTCAACAATGATCAAAACCAATATCTCATAGCAAGCTATTAAAGGATCCGAAATGACCGCATCTGTTTATTTCGCAGATGAAGATAAAAACGGGGGTTTGAGCACTCAACATACTATTTGACACATGTCTTAAGTCAGGAACCTCGTCTGTGGTTTACTTTACTTATATCTTGATAATTTTTTTTTTAAAGATCATTGGAAACCTTTGCAAGAACTATTCAACTTGTTTATCTCGGATAGAGCGTTAAATGTGTATAGACATGTGTGTACTGTTGAAGCATTCGTCCAACCCTCTTTAAAAGATAATAAAGACATAAATGAGGACAATTGTTTTATCCTAGGAACACTATTTCAGTGACCTCCATATAAAGGTTAATCATGTATGTTAATGAATGTTCTATCAAATTATAAGATTATTGTTAAAGGAACGTTAATAAAACAATGATATATATGCGTGTCGTGTTTGAACAAGAAAGTATACACTACTGTAGATAAAACAAGTAAGATATTAGTAATAAACAAATAACAAGGAAAGTGTAAGAACACGTCAGGTGTTTCTCTTGTCATTAATAAAACAATGCATTGTACATCCAAGAATTAAGACAAACTATGTAAAAATCATGTTTTTCTTCTATATACTTTTCCTGATTTAAATACATTAGCTCTTTATTTTGTTGCAATTTCACATTACTTATAAAAAAAACCTGTAATATAAATTGTTTCCTTCCTAACATTCTTTAATAACATTTGAAAAGTGGAAACTAGAAATTTGTCGTAGAAATTATTTTTTCTATTGTGTTTCATGCAAACTCATTGATGTGTATCTCACGGGTACCACATTTGGAGAAGTATCTGCTTACCCTTTCGGAGCACATGAGATCACCCCCGGTTTTTCATAGGGTTCGTGTTGCTTAACCTTTAGTTTTCTATGCTTTGTTTTGTAGACTGTTGTTTGTCTTTTGTCATGACATTGTCAGTTCGTTTTCGACTTATGAGTTTGAATATCCCTTTTGTATCTTTCACCTCTCTTTTATAAATGCAAAGTTTTCCTTTTTAATCTTTATACCATGAAATTTCGTGTTATAAAACACGACTGAACTGTAGTTTTTGGAAGACAAAGGTTAGGGTGAAGGTTGGCGCCTGTTAAAACGTTTAAACCCGCTGCATTTGTTTGCACCTGTCCTAAGTCAGGAACCTGTTGTTCAGTGGTTGTCGTTTGTTCATGTGGTTCATAAGTGTTTCTCGTTTCTCGTTTTTTATATAGATTAGACCGTTGGTTTTCCTGTTTGAATTTTTTTACACTAGTCATTTTGGGGTCCTTTTTTAGCTTGCTGTTTGGTGTGAGCCAAGGCTCCGTGTTGCAGGCCGTACTTTGACCTATAATTGTTTACTTTTTACACATTGTGACTTGGATGGAGTGTTGTCTTATTGGCACTCAAACCACATCTTCTTATTTCTATTTAACTCATGTATACTGGGGTACACAACTGTATTCCTGGTATCTATAATGAGTTTATTCACTACCAAAAGTGTTGATGTTTCTTCATCAGCAAAAACATGTCATCCATTACAAACACAACCGACACTAAAAACATCTGATTATAACAAACCAGAGTCGATACAGTCTTTGAAAATCGTATATATATTTGTTTTGAAAAAGCCTGCCGCACGGTTAAGTTTTAAATTTAGTACTTCGGTGCTAAGTCAGTGCTGTCATGGAAAAAAGGAAAATAACAAAAATACCGAACTCCAAGGAAAATTCAAAACAGAAAGTCCCTTATCATATGGCAAAATCAAAAGCTCAAACACATCAAACGAATGGAAAACAACTGTCATATTCCTGAAAATATCACTAGAGGCAAAACAAATCTAATACTTTGCAAGCAATTTGAGAAAAATGTTATAAACTGTTACTCATACACAAAAAACAACTGATATTACTAATTCTATTCTAATATACTTGTCAAATTTTTTTGCATACATGTAATGTTCTGAGAGACGTGTTAAAACATCAATTGAATTATTAAAGTAAGGGATCGAAAACTATGAAAATATTGCTCTGATGAATAGCCTGCATAATTATATATTTGACATATTCGTTATTGAATGTTATTGAAATTTAAAATTTGAATTTGTGTATCTTTATACGTAACCAGAGACATATGTCTCTGACGTAACTAATTTAACCAATTTTATCAGTATTCTCTACGTGTCCAGGAAAAGCCCTTGTAAATAGCTAAAGCAATGTTGTTCATAAAATATTACCTTTTATTTAATTCAATTTATTATAACAGTTTCATCCTAAGTATCATTAAACTGAATTACACATTCACACTTTTTAATGATCACGGAAGGAGTACTTTTTACAATATTTCAATGTCAACAGACTTTTGTGCAGACCAAACTATGTCAATTGACATCATTCAATTGCAAATTTCAAGATTTTACAGCATAAAGCTTTTACGAAAGGAAAAACTTTCATACAATACATAATGGTGAACAATTCAGTCAGATTTTCCTTTAAGTAGGTGTGAAGGAAAGTAACCATATATTAAAAATAATATAGATGATTTTACTAATGTTAACATATAAGAAAAAATCATACATTGTTCTAAGGAGGAAGTTGTAATTCACACTTATTATAATGACACATGTAAACCTCAAGTTTGTTACAATGATATGCATTAAACATAAAGAATAAATCAATTTGAAGACCAAGTAATGTAGCTGACCCAACGCTCTCTTGTCAGACTATTCATTTGTTACATACATGTATATCCAAAGTGAATAAATTACCAATAAGGAAATAACTCAAAAGGTAGAAGGTTATTTTCTAAAGAAGTTTTCCAGATTTTTTATTGAAGAAGCATTGAAAAAGATGTAATAAAAGTCTAGGTTCCAGTATAAATATTTATGAACAGAATACGCTGTAGACAATTCGGTACCACTGAAGATCATTCAAATTAATGTTAGGTTTATATTTAATATCAATAGTTTAGCAAACTTTGTTATAAACAATGTCATAATTTCAGTTCCTGTTGGCATACATGGAATTTATTTTAGATTGACTGCTATCTTATTGTTTCTCGTTATTAAGATTGGAATAGTTAAACCGGGATATATATAGATTGCCTATAGTTGCATACATCCACTTCATTTGAACTTTGGTGCTCATTGGTAATCATACCTCATCTCCTTATTTTCATATAAAATGATATTGCTTATATGCAAACTATTTGAATTTCTACATCGTACAGTGTCTAGCTTATTCTTAAATAGTAACTAACAATCAGTCTAATCGTGATGGCGTTTACGCATTGCAATTGATACGAAATGTTAGAGCATTTTCTAATGATGTCGATTTCACTTACATATACTGTATTGTACTCAAACCTATACTCCAAGAGGTTATGATGACAAATAATCGAAACTCATTGAGCCGGTATATTTATGTATTAATGCCTGAATTTGAATGTGATCTAATCATTTTAGTTGTAATAGAGGCTGAGTTACATATTTCACTACCATAATCAATTTTTCATCCAAACAAAGATAAAAAAAAATCTAAGTGTATGCCTGGTTGCGCCCAATCTGGTTCCTGTAAGTAATTTCAAACAATCAATAACTTTCATGCACTTAGTTTGTAAATTTTGAATATATATATATTTGTTTATGCAAAGTTAAGTTCCTTTAAAGAATTAATCATTTGTAAGTTACAATTTCTCAGTTTCTATTACAGATATATCTTAACGAGGATGAAAATCAAAATCACATGTCCTTACTCGATATCTGATTTTAAACTGTCGATCAAATAACCAATGGCCAGTGATTTGGCACTGATATAACTCGAACGTTAGGTTAAAAAAATGAAATAAAAACTGTCACGCTTCTTTCTCAGTGCAAAATTTTTCAATTGAAAGTTATAGGTTAAAATATGTTCTTGCTTTCAGTTACTGCGATCTTTCTTTGATATAGTATGACGTATTGTTTATTGAACACATGTTTTTGTCAACAGTACTGATAATATAGGGTTAAAAAACTGAGAGGCGGACGATACCAAGGGAACATTCAAAACTCATAAGTGAAAGAGAGACTGACAACGCAATAGCAAAAATTTAAAAACAAAACGACGAAAAGACCAGAAGTCCACCAAACACTACATAGAAAACTAAAGACCGAGTTACATGAAACCCACCAAAAACAGGGGTGATCACTGATGCTCTGGAAAGGTTAGCAGATCCACCCATCCGTCGTGTTGCTGCTATAAAATATGTTGACAAGTTCAAAGGTTTTTTTTCTTCTATGTACCTTTGTTATTCCACTGTTCTAAATTTAAAAAGGGCATTGGGCTGAGCGGTCAAACGATAGTCAAACACCATGATATGTCAACGTGCTTATTCCAAGTCAAGAAAGTCGTCAGTGCTTGTTTTTGTTATTTTTTGATTGTTTTGTACTTTGGGTCAATTGGGAAAAAAAGTACCGCAGTACCGATGACAGAAGTCTTATCCAAATATTGACTTCTTGAATTTCAATTTACAAAACCTAGCACCTTACCATAAAGGGCCCTTGTAACTACCGATGGCAGATCTTTGATAAACTCATACCTCATTAATGATACCCTTTTTATTCATTAAAACCAAATACAAGTTGTGGATTGTATCTAGTGTTATAACGCGACCCATCTTATCGACTGAATAAGCATAGACTTACATGGAGGGGAAGGGTCAAAAGGAAGTTTTATCTAAATATTGAGTTCTTGAATTTGAATTAACAAAACCTGGTACCTTACCATAAAGGACCCTTGTAACTACATGTTCGTTTATGTATGCATTCTGAACAGACAAGCGTAGGATATTTTGTAAGGATCTTAAAAAAACAGCAAATGTTCATTCCAATCTAATTGATATACAGATCCTGTGTCCACGATTCGCTACAAAGTAATGGAACCATGATCTGTATTTTAATCAAAATGATGTTCATTCTTAACACTTGACATTTCAATGTCTACATATTCGGACATTTTCCTAAGAAGTGCAATATTCTTCCATGGAACCTCTCCCTTGCATTAAGTTTTCATTTCTATTGGTTTTCTTTTCAAAAGGTTGTTTCACATAACAGTGATGTATTCTAGTGAATGTCATGCAAATTTAAAAAAAGTGATAAAACTCTTCGTTTTGAGCACGGTAGCGGACATCCTTGGCTGAGTTTTACCAAAAGCTAAGGTTTTAGAATCGGAATTCGTGCTATAACCTGCTTATACTATAAACTGTAATTGGTTTATCCCTTTTTGAGTGGCAGCTGAAACCATCGAAAACTAACATTTATCATGATTAATGGCGCGTCTACTACGTGTTTATCATTTTGCAGATAAATTGTCGTTGGGTTGTTGTCTCATTTTTTTACGTTTACCCTTCATCTTCATCCTACTCTTTATATTCATAATGATACA